TGCTACTCGTGCTACTGCTGTTGCTGGTGGAGGTGCTGCTGGGAGTGCTGGAGGTGCTGTTGGTGCTGGAGGAGCTGGAGGTGCTGGACCTACTCCTGACCGTCGCTGTCTGTCATGGCCACTATCGCGGCAGTTGCTGCGGCCAGGGGTGGACAGCAGCGGGCACTGCCTCTCCCGGACGACCCCACCCCTCAGCAGCTTCGTGAGTGGGTTGTTCAGCGAGGCAGACCTGGTGGTGGAGGTTTTGATTTTCAGTGGCCTAAGCGACGTCGCGACTGTGCTTCTCAACGATGCGTCCCTGGCTGTGTAGAGGTTCCTGCTCCCGGTTCTAGTGAGTCTGCTGCCGCCCCAGGTGCTAGTGAGTCTGCTGCCGCTCCAGGTACTAGTGAGTCTGCTGCAGCTCTAGGTGCCCGTGAGTCTGCCGCCGCTCTAGGTGCTAGTGCGTCTCCTGCCACAGGTCCTGCCTCTGCTGAGGTCTTGCACACTTTCACGCTTGACTCAGGCGCGTCACGTTGCTTCTTTCGTGATTGCACCACAGTCACACCACTCACAGCACCTGTCCCAGTCTCACTGGCTGACCCCTCTGGGGGCCCAGTAGTTGCGAGAGCCTCCACGGTCCTCCCTTGTCCAGCAGTCCCCTCCGGCTCTCTGTCAGGTTTCCACCTCCCCACGTTCTCGACGAACTTGGTGAGCAACGCTGCCATTCAGGATGTGTGGGTTGATACCTTTATTCCTGGAGGGCAGCGTGTGGTGATCTGTACGTGCTCCCGGACTGGCCGTCACCTGGCTACGTTCACTCGACAGCCTGGGTCTAGTCTGTACACACTGACCACTGCGTCTGCACAGGTGGCTGAGTCAGGTCAGGTGGCTGCGTCGAGTCGGGCGTCTGCGTCGGGGCAGTTAGCTGCGTCTTGCTCGTGCAGAGTACTCACGCACGAGACTCAGAGCTGGCACCACCATCTTGGTCACCCCTCCCTGCCGCGTCTACACAGTATGCACTCCCGTCTCCTTGTCTCTGGCCTCCCCAGGACCCTGCCCCCCCTGCCGCGCTCGCTTGCCTCGCCGTGCCTTCCTTGCGTCGAGGGGCGGCAGCGCGCCGCTCCTCACTCCTCCGAGTTTCCTCCGACCACTGCTCCTCTGCAGACTCTCCACCTGGACGTGTGGGTGGAACGGACCAGGATCGCTACTTCCTGCTGGTTGTTGACGACTACACACGCTACACCACCGTCTTCCCCTTGCAGCGCAAGGCGGATGTCAGTGGTGTCCTGATCCCCTGGATCCGTGCTACTCGTCAACAGCTGCGCGAGCGGTTTCGGCGGGACTTTCCAGTTCTGCGTCTGCGCTCTGACAGGGGTGGTGAGTTCTCCTCTGGCGTCCTTGAGACGTTCTGTCAGGACGAGGGCATCGCCCAGTCGTTCACGCTTCCGGCCTCTCCGCAGCAAAATGGGATCGCTGAGCGTCGCATTGCCCTGATCATGGAGGTTGCTCGTACCTCCATGATCCATGCGGCTGCTCCCCATTTCCTGTGGCCGTTTGCGGTCCGATACGCCGCGCATCAGCTCAACCTCTGGCCACGTGTCTCTGCTCCAGAGACCTCGCCCACACTCCGTTGGACGGGACAGCCTGGTGATGCGTCGTCGTTTCGGGTCTGGGGCGCGCTCTCCCTTGTTCGCGATTCCAAAGCGAGCAAGCTCTCTCCTCGCACTCTCCGCTGTGTCTTCCTGGGCATCCCCATCGACGCCCCGCCCTGGCAGTTCTACCACCCTGCCTCGCGTCGTGTTCTGTCCTCTCAGGACGTCACCTTCGACAAGTCGGTCTGTTACTACCGACTTCACCCACACGCGTCCCACCCGGTCCCCCTCGCGCCTCTCTTCCTGGTACCAGTCCCCCCCCCGGTAGACCCCCTCCCCCCACAGGGTCCTGCTCCCTCAGGTGTGTCCCAGGTAGACCCACCCCCCTTGGATGAGCCAGTTGAGATCTCTTCTGACTCCTCTGACTCAGCTGAGGGGGGTGACGCCGTCGCCGACGACACGGCGACCACTCGCCACACTCCTTGCTTGGAGACCCCCCGCTGCTACCGCACTCCCCACTGCTTGCTCCTGCTCCTTACACTGCGGTGACACAGTCCCTGACTGAGCGTCGAGAGCCTGAGACTCGTGCTTCCACCCCTGAGCGTCGAGAGCCTGAGTCTAGCTTTGACCTTGAGCCTGAGCCTAGAGCTGCTGTCCGTGCTCGTGTTCCTCAGGCTCCCTCACAGGTTTCCACCTCCCCTCGTTCTCTAAGAACTTGGTGAGTAACGCTGTCCTCCAGGACCAGTTTGTCACTGTCACTACTCCTGGGGGTGAGCTTGTGGCAATCTGTACAGACTCACGCACTGGCGAGCACCTCGCCACGTTCACTCGAAGCCCTGGGTCTGGCCTGTACACATTGACCACTGAGTCTGCACAGGTAGCTGCGTCGGGTCAGGCAGCTGCGTCGGGTCAGTTGCTGCGTCTTGTTCGTGCCGGCTACTCTCGCACCAGACTCTCCTCTGGCACCACCGTCTTGGTCACCCCTCCCTGCCGCGCCTGCGTAGCATGCACTCTCGTCTCCTTGTCTCTGGCCTCCCCAGGTCCCTGCCCCCGCTCCCGCGCTCGCTTGCACCGCCGTGCCTTCCCTTCATCGAGGGGCGGCAGCTCGCCGCTCCTCACTCCTCCTCGTTTCCGCCGACCACTGCTCCTCTGCAGACTCTCCACATGGACGTGTAGGGCCCAGACCGCGTCCGTAGACAGGACCAGGAGCGCTACTTTCTGCTGGTTGTTGACGACTACACGCGCTACCCCACGGTCTTCCCATTGCGGAGCAAGGCGGATCACGGGTGAATACTCCTCTCAGTGGCAGACAGCCATGGACGCAGAGATGGCTTCATGGAAGTCCACAGGCACCTACGTCGACGAGGTTCCTCCTCCTGGGGCGAACATAGTCGATGGCATGTGGATTTTCAGGGTGAAGCGGCCGCCGGGTTCTCCGCCTGCCTTCAAGGCGCGTTACGTTGCTCGAGGCTTCAGTCAGCTACAGGGGGTCGACTTCTTCCAGACTTTCTCCCCCACCCCGAAGATGACTACTCTTCGGGTGTTACTGCACGTTGCAGCACAGCGTGACTACGAGCTGCACTACCTCGACTTCTCCACTGCTTTCTTACAGGGCAGCCTTCACGAGGAGATCTGGCTGCGCCGCCCACCTGGCTTCACTGGGTCGTTTCCTGAGGGTACCCAGTGGAGCCTCCGGCGGCCGGTCTACGGTCACCGCCAGGCGCCCCGCGAGTGGCACGACACACTGAGGACGACACTTGCGGCTCTTGGCTTTGCTCCTTCCTCTGCTGACCTGTCGCTGTTTCTACGCACCGACACTTCTCTACCGCCGTTCTACATTCTCGTGTACGTCGACGACTTGGTTTTTGCTACTGCTGACACTGAGGCACTGGCCCTAGTGAAGGCGGAGCTGCAGGAGAGACACACCTGCACTGACCTGGGTGAGCTGCGGAGCTATCTTGGCTTGCAGATCACCCGGGACAGAGCACGGCGCACCATCACCCTAACTCAGTCACACATGGTGCACCAGGTCCTTCAGCGCTTCGGCTTCACGTTCTCCTCGCCACAGTCCACTCCTCTGCCTACAGGCCACTCGCTCTCAGCTCCACCTTCGGACGAGTCCGTAGAGCCGAGTGGCCCGTATCCATAGCTTGTGGGCTGCCACATTTACCTGATGACGTGCACACGACCTGACCTCGCGTACCCTCTCAGCCTCCTGGCTTGCGACGTGGCTCCTGGTAGACACCGAAAGGTGCACTGGGATGCTGCGAAGAGGGGACTGCGTTACTTGTGCAGTACATCGGGCATGTGGCTTGTGCTTGGAGGACGGGAATCAGTGGTACTCACAGGTCACTCAGACGCTTCCTGGGCCGACGACCAGGCGACTCAGCGGTCGTCACAGGGTTACACCTTTAGTCTTGGCTCTGATTCTGTCTCGTGGAGGTCCACTCGTTCGTCTTCTGTGCTTGGTTCCAGCTGTGAGGCCGAGATCTAGGATGGGGCTATGGCTGCACAGGAGCTACGCTGGCTGACCTACCTGTTGTCCGACTTGGGGGAGCAGCCTCGTTCTCCTCCAGTTCTGTACGTCGACAACAAGGCCATGCTTGCCTTGTGTCACGAGCAGAGACTGGAGCACAGAACGAAGCACATTGCTATTGCTACTTTCTTGTTTGAGAGCTGCAGCAGCGTGGTCAGCTTCGCCTTTCCTACGTGGCCTCTCGGGCCAACACTGCTGATGTCTTCACCAAGGCCCTCGGGTCTGGTGATCATCAGCGTTTTTGCACTGATCTCGGGCTTCTGCCCACTCTGCCTCACCTGCTTGTCTCTTGATCTTGCACTTGTTGTACACTGATATCTATATTTGTACCTGCATGTTTACTCTTGCTAGGTTGTGATCAGTGTACTGCCTTGCTATTATAACTCTGCATGTGAACTGGCCTTGTGGCCGCTTGCTTGTGCTCAGAATGCGTGGTGATCTTGAGATCCACTATGGGCTTTGCATTGCTTTGTTCTCTTTCCTGACTGGTCATGTGACCGTTTGTTGTGTTGGCTATCCCTCACTTTGCCTAGGGGGGTGTGTCAAAACATATTTATATGTTGTTAGTTCTGCTATGCTACAATGAGGTGCTCAGTATAGAGTACAACCCCAGTTAGGGTTTACTACTTGTATCTCACTCTTACATAGTTCATTCAAACCTGCACAGTTCTCTCGACATGGCTTCAGAGCAGGTCCCTCCGTAGGACCGCTCCATTATGGCCCACCAACCGTACGTACTGCCCCAGGAGCTGCTGCCGTCGTGCGCTGCCCTGCTCGCCGCGCTGCCCTGCTCGCCGCGCGCTGCCCTGCTCGCCGCGCGCTGCCCTGCTCGCCGTGCGCTGCCCTGCTCCCCGCGCGCTGCCCTGCTCTCTGCGCGCTCCCCTGCCCAAGACATGCGGTTGTGGATGCGGGAAGGCATGCGGAGGGTGCTGCTGATGCTGGCACGGATGCTGTTTTTTTCGAGGGAGAGGACGCTCTGGAGGACGCCTCGTCATCAGCTTGGCGGCACGAATAAACGCACCAGGGTGGTCGTCTCGGACGATGACAGCCCGGATGAGGAGAATCCACCAGAGCGACGACGCCGCTTCACCACAGCCGAGAAGGGGAAGAGAAAGAAGAAGAAGTCCAAAGCGAAGGAGGACAAGGGGAAGGACGCCATCGCCGTCAACGAGGTTTGCTGTTCCGACAATGAGTATGCTGAAGCTGCTGGACCGCTTCCCTCCTTCCCTAAAAAAGGTAAACCAAAAGACCCCACTCTTGCTAACGCAGATGCTCGTCCTCCATCCCCACCCAGTCGCTGTGTGAAACGGACCACGAGGAGCTGGAGCGTGAAGGAGAAAACCAAGTGGGAGCGGCACTACCTGGAGATCGGTTCCCTAAAGAAGACGGCACGGGAATCTTCCGCCAGCATTGCAACAATCTGACAGTGGGTGGGGCAGGTGCAGTCCGGCGTGTTTCGTGGTGATGAAAACTTTCGCAAGCGGTTACACGGCGCTGGCCGGCACTCACATCACCCCGACATGGAAGAATCTCTGTACCGTCATATCTGCCTATAGCGCGCCAAGGGGGTGCCGATCTCTGCGAAGGAGACGCAGCGGTGGAGCCGAGAGTGGATGAAGAAAAATAAACCGGCAAGAACTGGAACGCCTCCTCGCACTGGAGCCAGCGATTCCATGATCGCTGTAACCTTGTGATGAGGGTGAAGACGAAGGTTGGTCAGAAGTTGTTGGAGGGTGAGTCCTTCTCAAGCCTGTTTCCCTCTGCTGTGATCGTGCATGTCGTATTCTCAAAGTGGCCGCCACATCTTTGCTCCTGCGTGTTCGTGTGTGGTTGTTCCGACCATCGTTTACATCCCACTGTGTTACTCTCTCTGTGCTTCTTCCCTAGAGTGTCTTCTTGGCAGAGTGCGCCAAGGGCTGTGAAGGCTTCTGGAAGTCCATTCGCGTCAACCGCGCACGCCACAACATCGGCGTCTCGCGCATCATCAACGCTGATCAAACCCCACTGTTTGTGGAGATGCCGGCGGAGAGGACCATAGACCACAGAGGCGCGCGGCCTGTCCCTATCCACACGGCTGGCTACGAGAAGCAGAGGCTCACCGTCATGCTCGCGTGCACAACCCGAGGTGAGAAGCTGCGGCCGTCGGTGTGGTTCAAGATGAAGAACATTCTAAAGTGTGACATTCCCGAAGGTAAGTCACATGTTTACTGTGTGAACGCATGTGTTGACCGCACCCACTTTCATTCTTTACATCATTGATCTCATCATTGTCCTTCGGATGCCACGTTTCCTCTACCTTGCTCGGAAGGTGTCGTGGTCCAAGCCCAGGACAATGGTTGGACGGATGAGACGGCGGTGAAGACGTGGCTGGCGAAGGAGGTGCCGCCCTTCCTCAACCCCAAGAAAGGGCAGTCAGTGCGGCGTTCGATGCTGGTGCTGGATTCGTACCGCGGGCACATCACTCAAGGGCTTCTGCAGACGTATCTAGCACACTGCGTCACCCTTGCCGTAATCCCTGCAGGCTGCACCAGCCAGATTCAACCACTCGACGTCTCAATCAACCGCTGCTTCAAATTCGCGGTGCAAGCGCGCTACTGAAGGTGGTTCATGCAACATGGCATCAACCTGAGGACGACAAGAGGTGAGTTGGTGAACTGAGCCTTATGTATTGAATCTGCCCTCTTATCCCTTAAATATGCCTAGTTTTCCACACCTTTACTCACCCTTCCGTTGAATTTACTCACACTTGAGGAGGCCTCCGCATCACGTGGTGCTGCAGTGGATTTCGGAGGCTACGGAGCAAGTGTTACGCGAGGTCATCATCAAGGCATTCAAGACCTGCGGGATCTCGAGCAACCTCGACGGGACCGAGAATTACTTGGTGACTACACGCGAGGAGCACCACTGACGTGTCTGAAGACATGTCTCTGTGGGGGAGCACATGCGACAATGCACACCTACTTGTGCAGGCACTTGGGGGGGGGGGGGCGGGAGGAGGAGAAGGAGGAGGAGGAGGAGGAGGAGGAGGAAGAGGAGGAGGAGGAGGAGGAGAAGGAGGAGGAGGAGGAGAAGGAGGAGGAGGAGGAGGAGGAAGAGGAGGAGGAGGAGGAGGAGGAGGAGGAGGAGGAGGAGGAGGAGGAGGAGGAGGAGGAGGAGGAGGAGGAGGAGGAGGAGGAGAAGGAGCTGGAGGCCGACGGCGTCAGGGAAGTCGGCGTGGCGACTGGGCTGGAGATGCTCTACGCAGAAACCCCCTGCTACCGTGGAGCTGCGGCCGAGGCTGATCGCCTCGTGGAGCCGTCAAAGACGGCCAAGCACACCTGAAGCGTCACAGACTTGGGCATGTAGGAGCCTTCTACTGCTAGTGCAGATGAAGAAGATGAGGGCGTGACCGAGGGGTACTAGATAGAAATGGCAGGGATAATTGTTTGATGCCTGTACCATGTGAATGCACAGAATCTGTTTAGAAGACCCATCCCGTTTAGAGGAAAACCCCTAAAACCTAGACTGTTTAAACTCGTACACATATATGGGTCTCTTATAACTAGAACATCTATGATAAGAATCTACCCCAATTAAAGACACCTGGACACTATCATATATCCGGACGATGATGGTAGAAGAAGATTTGCATATGTAATACAGTCATCGAACTTATGAGTGACATGAAATGATTTTGTTTCTTGTATTTCACCCTGATGCTTATGCATCTGAATCTATCATTATTATAACATCACTTTTGCTATATCATATTCCCCCAGATAGAAGCCTGTCAGAGATAGGCAAGCGGGATGATGTATGACTAAGGAAAGTGGGATAAAAATAGGAAACCATAAATGGGTTGTACCCTCTAAAGAGCACCTCACTGTAGCCTAGAGAATTAACAAGCACATATGTTTATAACTTGACATACCCCCATAGGCTAGGTGAGGGGCATCAAACGAGCAAGACAAGCAACAACTCAGGGTGGATCAACTAGACCAACCATCGAGATAGGTGGTCACAAGCCAGTAAAAAACAACAAGGCAAGATAAGCAACTCAGGGTGGTACGACTAGCCAACCTCTGAGCCAAAAGGCCACAAGGCCACTTCAAGAGTTCATATATATATATATATATATATATATATATTAACAACAGAACAAGCAGAGCAAGAACAAGAGGCAAGTCTACGACAAACAAGGACCTGTCTGAACAAGGCCAAGCTGCGAACAGAACATGTGGTGCTCACCAGGCGGATTGGCCTTGGTGCTCACACGCGTGCCTGGCCGCGTCGATGCAGCTCTCACAGCAAGAAGTATTTTAGATCGATGTGCTTCACTCTGATCTTCAGTCGAGGCACTCAACACAGGAGGATCGTGGCCTTGTTGTTAGCAAACAAGGTTGGTGCAGAAATAGGCCGCTCACCTAGGTCAGTGACCAGTTAAGTCAGCCAGCGGAGCTCCGGAGCAGCCATGGCACCGGAGTAGATCTCGGCCTCAGCATTTGACTGCGCCAAAGACGACGACGACGTTTGAGTAGACCTCCACGACACAACTCCTGAGCCCAACCTTAAATAGTAACCCCGAGTCGACCTGCAGGTCTCCTTGTCGTCCGCCCAGGACAAGTCACAGTGCCTGGTAAGTCGCACTGACCGGCTCCCTCCAAGCACAAGCCCCATGCCTGATGTGGTCGCCAGGTACTTTGCTACCCTCCTAGCAGCCTTCCAGTGAACTGGACGGTGTCTCCCAGTCGCAAAGAAGCGAGCGAGGACGCTGAGAAGATAGGCGAGGTCCGATCGAGTGCACATCATCAGGTACATGAGGCAACCCATCAGGAACTCTGCGTAGCGACCACTAGTCTCAACATGCTCGTTAGGAAAAGGAACAATGGGTCTGTGATCAACATCAAGAGGAGTGGGCTGTGTGGAGGAGAACTGAATCTCGAACCGCTGAAGGACCTGCTGCACCATGTCTAACTGAGTTAGAACGATGGTGCGCGCTGCTTTGTCCCTGATGATCTGCAAGTGAAGATTGCTTTGCGGATCACAAAGGTCAGTGCGGGTGTGTCTCTTCTACAATTCTGACTTCATCGAAGCCAGAGAAACCCTGTCTGCTGTAGCAAAAACCAAGTCGTTGACGTACATGAGGACGAAGAAAGGAGTGGAACCAGAACACACGAGCAGTGACGGGTCGGCGGACGAAGGACGGAACCCGAGGCCAGCAGTGGTGCGCAGGTTGTCATGCCAACCACGAGGTGCCTGGCGCAGTCCGTAGACTGGTCGTCTCAAGCTCCACTTGGTCCCAAGCAGGAAAGTACCAGTGTAGCCTGGAGGACGGCATAGCCAGATCTCCTCATGCAGGCTGCCTTCGAGGAAGGCAGTGGAGAAGTCTAGCGAGTGCAGCTCGTAGTCTCGCCGCGCATAGACGTGTAGTAGCACCCTAAGAGTGGTCATCTATGGGCTGGGGAAGAAGGTCTGAAAGAAGTTTACTCTCTCATGCTGACTGAAGCCTCTCGCCACGTATCGCGCCTTGAAGATTGGCGGCGATCCAGGTGGCTGCTTCACCTTGAAGATCCACATGCCATCGAATACCTTCGCCCAGGGAGGAGGAACCGCGTCAACGTGCGTGCCCGTGTAGCTCCAAGATGCCATCTTTGTGTCCATGGCTGCGATCCACTGAGAGGCCCACTGTCCCGACACTGCCTCAGCGTAAGTACGAGGAGTCGGGATGTCTGGAGCGTCAGGGTCTCCCTCGAGGGCTAGCAGCATGGCACAGAGATGGGGAGATATGGCCGCAAGGAACTCCAGCCCAACCTGCCTGTCCTCTAGGACGTCACAGTCAAGGGCGGACTCACCCCCGGCGGACAGAGGACGGGTAGGAGGAGCAGCCACCAAGCTGGTGGCGTAGTCAAGGCGGCGGGTGGCGGCAAAGTCAGTGACAGCGGTAACAAGGGCCGAGACAAACGACGGAGAGGCAGTAGGGTCTGTGACAAGAGAGGAGAGAACACGAGAGACAGCAAGGCAAGTAGTACGGTAGTAGTCAGTGAGAGGCAGTGAGGAAACAGTGAGAGCCGACGAAGGAGGTAACGGGAGGATAGACGGAGGCGGAGCACGAGGTGGGAGAGTATGAAGGAACAAATAGTGGAGGTCCTGAGCAGGAGACGAGTGACGAGCACCTGGGGGACGAACGGTCCAAGGGAGCTGGACAACATGAGGAGACGACCGTGTTCGAGGAGGAGAGAGAGCCAGGGAGGCGTCCGCAGGAGGAAATGTAGGACCGTACACATGAGGAGATGGCGAGCGGACTGGAGAAGTGGAAGGAAAGCCAAGGGTCTTAAGACCACTTATGTGTGGTGTCGACCGCTGTTGTTGTTGCTGCTGCTGCTGCTGAAACTGGAACCTTGTCAAGTAGTGAGGGATGACCGGGGTAGGTGCCGCAGCTGCAGCACCCCCAGGACCAACACAACCAGCTCGAGCACCCTCAGAACCAGAACCTCTAACTCCAACACCCCCAGCTTCAGCACCTCCAGTGCCAGTACCCCCAGCGTCAGCACCTCCCAAACCAACACCTCCAGAACCAGCACCTCCAACTCCAGGGCCTCTAGCTCCAGCACTCCCAGAACCAGCACCTCCAGTGCCAGTACCTCCCGCTCCAGCACCCCCGACACCAGCTCCCCAAGAACCAGCACCTCTAGCACCAGCATCCCCAGAGTCCACTGCGACCTGCCGCAATAGCACCGAAGGCTGCTGCGGCAACTGTGACGATGACGTGGGGGGTTGTGGTGAAGGAGACGACACCAGACATGTTACCGAGGGGGGAGGGGTAGCGTGAGACACACCTGACGGGGCAGGACCTGGGTGGGGTGGGAGCACCGCAGGAGCAGGATCAGGAGGAGGAGTGGGAATGAGGAAGAGGGGAGGGGGGGAACCAGGAGACCTCGGTGGGGGTAGCGCAGAAGAAGGACACGGACTCATCAAACGTGACGTCGCGGGAGTCGAAGAACCAGTGGAGGGGCGGGTGGTAAAACGTGAAGTCAGGGCGTCAATCGGGAAACCAAGGAAGACACCGGGAAGGGTGCGAGCCAAAAGCTTGTCCTCGCGAAGATCTCGGACATGCGCAAGACAGCCCCAAAAGTGAAACGCTGAAGTGATACCAAGGGACCCAGTACAGAGACAGGTCGGTGAAACCTCTGGGCGTGAAAAACGCCGCCAGAGGTTCAGCTGGTGTGCTGCGTACCGAACTGCAAAAGGCCACAGAAAATGGGGCGCACGGGCATGCACCATGGAGGTGCGAGCGATCTCCATGACGAAGCATATGCGGCGCTCAGCAACCCCATTCCGCTGTGGCGAGTCAGGAAGCGTGTGCCTTCTTCTGCAGGGGGAACACCGTGCTGTAGGGAGAGAAGTCGTTAACCACCATCGGGAAGAAGCGCTCCTGACCCGACCTGGTGACTGGGGCATGGCCCCAGACGTCCATGTGCAACGTCTGGAGGGGCGCGGTGGCTGGCGCAAGGGAGGAGGAGTGAGGGGTGGTGCGCAACCTACCCCCGAAGCAAGAAGTACATGGCTGCGGAGGCGAAGGAGGGAGCGGAGGAAGCAGGGACGCAAGACCTGACACAAGACCGGACCAGGACATCTGACGGAAACGTGGGAGTGAAGGGTGACCAAGTCGGTTGTGCCACAGGACTGACAGGTGGGTGAGTGATCGACAGGAACATGACGCAGCAACCTGACCAGACACAGCTACCCGAGCGAACGCAGTGTGCAGTGTGACGAGACCTGACGGAGGCTCCCGGGAGAACGTCGCAAGACGTGCCCCCGTGGAAGCGTCCGTACAAGTATGAAACCTTTCATGTGCAGGAAAAGTTACCATGACCCCACGATGGTGAAGGTTTCCAACACCCACAAAGTTCCTAGAGGACGAGGGGATGTGGAGACCGGCGAGGGAACCAGAAGGGACGGCCGGACACGAGAGCGTGGTAGACCGCAAGCGGCAGCTGGTCCAAAAGTGGGATCAGCCAAAGCTATTGAGATTGGTGCAGGAAGTGGCGTGATAGTGGTGTGGTCGCGGAAGAAGCACTGGGAGTCGCCGTAGTCAAGCATGAAGGAAAGATATTTGTCAGTAGTAGTCACACCTGGGCTAGCAAATACACATGTACCTACACTAGGAACATGCAAACATCCTAAGCTAGGTACACGCAAGCGAACATATCCGACAGTACTAGAGTCAACAGGATACATGATAGAATGAATAGCATCTATGGACAGATCAGACACATGGCAAACGGCGAATCAGAGTAGGCCAGGACGGGGGAGTCCAGGTAAGCCCGAAACGCTTACGCGTC